GTGGAGTGACGATTTGCGCAAGATGGCTGGCAGGAGCTGGATGCGAGAAGCCCAAAATCGATCTAAGTGACATGCAATGGGAGAGGCCTATGTCCAGCAGTGGACTGCGATAGGCTGATGATGAAGTGTGCGATGAATACTTGTACCTATTATCAAAGTATAAAATAATGGTTCGATGTTGATTGAAACATGTTATAAGTCGAACTTCAAAAGCCCAGTAACTTAAATCAAATTATAAACAAAATACATTAGGAACGGTATTGACATTACAATTTATTCAGTAAGTAATAAAGAATACCCTCTGATTGCCGCAAAAGGCAATATTAAATCTCTTTTATTAGCATTTGATTTTATCATAGCTATATATCGTTAGTGCTCCTACTCAAAAGGCTTGTACTATGAAAAATATTTATTTCCACTAACTAATTTTTCTTTTTTCGTGTCACTTTTAAAATGACTAACTTCCATACAAACGTTCTTCTCCCTTATTTTAATCCGTCCGGGAGAAATTTTCAAAAAATCCTTTCATAGTTGATGCTTGCAACATAAAAAGCATCAGATGCTAAAGTTTGTGGCCCCAGCGGTTAAGGCTCGACGTTAATGAATCAGTATGGCAAGTCATTTTATAATTATAGATTTATTTCAAAGAAAAACAAACCAAACTAACACTATACACACCAAATCACTTACATATTAGATGTCCATAGTAGTTTTTAATTAATACAGTTAATTAATGAATTCCGTATTTAAACTATACTTTCTAAGGAGAGGCCTATGTCCAGCAGTGGACTATCGTAGGCTGTTGATGAAACTATATAATTTTTTCAGCAAAGAATTTCTTTACCTTCACTGTCATCACACAAGTAAGTATTTTCAAAAAGTATGTGAGTATTTTGATTTGGTTGCAAAAAATTGGGTTGATTGTTGACAGTTAAACTTAAGTGTGCTGTGTGGTGACGGATTAAGATTACAAAGTGTCACCACCCCTATTCATCCCTTGTGTGTCGTAAGAGTGGACTAAAGGAGAAAATTACGCAGAACAACAGCACTGCAGAGAGAAGGAAAACTTGATACAAACTCTATACCAACCCGTCTTTCCAGCGTGGTATAGTAGGCCCAAACCTCCTTTCAAAGAAGAGGCTTATGTCCAGCAGTGGACTACTAAAGGCTGTTGATGATGATGATGTGTTGTCTAACACAGAGTAGGTGTCGTCAAATCTGACACCGTGCAGTGCAAAAGGGATGTAAAGTTGCATGCGATACTGGTGATGTTTGATTATCTATCTTGTCATTAAGCAATAGGTAATAGTGCATTATTTGTATGTTAATCCATCTAAGTTGCAATGTATCTAGATCTAAGATTCCCAAAACCAATATCGAGTGATATAAAAAAGGAATGTTTTAGTAGGAAATCCATGTGATCAATATCATGAAAGCCAATCATCCAATGTCAATTGCCAATCTATCCTCAGCCTTTGAACTCAATCGTCACGCCGATTAATCAACAAACGCGTATATGCAATTAATCATTTTCTTGCGGACATAAATGCGAACATTTTATTTCCAATTCAAAACTCGTAACACAAACGACGTGTTTTGAGTTGAAAAAGTATTCATTAGTAACTTTTTAATACTTGCTAAGCATTTGACTTCTTATGGATTGCGAAGACGACAGACGTGGTAATGGTAAAGATAGAGTAACATACACAGACGTATTCTTTCTAAAGGTTTCAAGAAGTTGAAGGATGTAGACCTTTCATGCAAATAGAGGTACCGTTACCGCTGGATGAAAAAATAAGTTTGACGCAAGCGAAGACGAGGGTACAACCTAAATTGAAGTATCAATTTCTTACAATATTTTTTGCGTTCAACATTTTCACACTGTCTCACTTACAATAGCCTAGTTTGTTTGTTTTATATAAACGTATAAAGTCTCATGTCAGCCACTACAGTTAATGAGCACTAATTACGTGCCAGATGAAAATAAGGCGCCCAATGACAAAGATTGTGTGTCAACACACGCAAACTGCGTAGAAGCAGACATAGAGAAATATAGACTATAGGTATTGTTTTATTTGTGTTTAAATTAATGTGAAATTAGGACGTCAAATAAATTGCGGGTAGATGGAGAAGTTTTCGCATTCGCACTAGTCGGGTTATAGCAACGGGAAGTAGTGCAGTAAAAAAATCAAGCAATAAAATAATATAATATATCCATCCTTCCATTCTTATGGAATAAATATGATAGTGAGTTTGTTTGTTACGCTTTCGCGCCAAAAACATTGAACCGAATTAAAAAATTCTTTCACCAATGCTTTATTATCAGCGAGTAACGTGGGCTACTTTTTACCGCGATAATTGACATACACGTAGGCAAAAGCTATTATAATATACAAAAATATCCAATAATGTACTTATATACATGGCCAAACAAACATCAATAGTATATCACAGATATATACGAGTAAAGGTCTTCATCATAAAAAGCTCGTGTTAAATATAAATAATAAATAATAATAATTTTACACATCTCACACACGGCCGTCTGATCGAAAACTAGGCAGAGCCTGTACTATGGTAATCATGCTGATAAACATACTTATATATTTATAAATACATACATAATATAGATAAATTACACCGAGACACAGAACAAATAATCGTGCTCATCACACAATTATTTGTCCTGGGTGGGAATCGAACCCACGATCTCCGGCTTAGCAGTCAGGGTCACTAACCACTAGATCAACAGGCCCGTAAATAGGCCAAATATATATATATATTGTTATATATGTTTTATATTTACATTTAACAAGAGCTTTTGACGAGCTTTTGCTTTTTCACGAACATATAATGATATTTTTTGTTAATTACTTATTTGTTTTAAATAGTATGTTATGTTATGTTATGAAGACCATGGACAAAACTTTTACCCGTAAAATGACAGACAGACAAGAGTTAAATTGATTGTATGTATTGTATGTAATAGTTAATATAAATGAGTCTCCACAAGACTCTAGAAGTCTATACAGAAGCCAAAGACACCAGCCACGTTTCCACGTTCACACATCAAAAACGTAAATTCTAAGAGCTTTGACGCTCTGAGCAAAGAAACCATGGCTTAAATTAAAATTTGTTCCATTCCTGTCAACAGCTTAGTATGCCCGTCCAAGAAAAAAAAAAGTAACGATGATTTATGTTATGTGTAAATAAATATATTCGGTATGTAAGAAATATTTATTTTTCTTTTGCCGTGCCTTTCTTTCGGCTCTCAGACCTGGAAATACACTTGCACAGTTATAAACAAAATTATCAGCTGCTAGCGCGGCTTGGAACGTAGTATGCTGAACACAAAAAAAAAATAGGACACACTAGCATACGAAGTCTCTCAAAAGCTACAGATGCTTTGGACTAAAATGGCTGGACATGTAGCGAGACTGCAAGACGAAAGTTGGACCAGTAGAATCAGAGAGGAAGACTACACACAGATGGCAGGATGATATCTAGTGATTCAGGATTCCTATATCGTTCCTAATGTTTTTTGTTTAGCCACCTGTATTCAATTTGGGCCTGCTATCTTAGTGGATAGCAGGCCACAATTGAATACAGGTGGCCCAAGATAGGGACACATGAACTTCTTTGAAGGGGGCCTTCACACGAAAAGGGGCTCTTGCAACAAAACCAAGATTGGGTTAATTTTAACACTGGTTTAGTATTATGGGATTATGTAATGAATAGTTTTAGGATAGTTATAAGATTTATGGTATACTAACTTGCAAGAAATATAAGGCTTTTTTATTTTATTTCTTTATTATAAATATATGTTGAAGTCACTGGTACTTGAAATACTCAGTTAAAATAGCTCAGTTTTAGACATTTGAAATACTAATTACAAATTACCCTTCCAAGTCCAAATTTAAATACAAAATAGGTAGGTACAAGTTTTAATTACAAGTAAATGAAATAGGGGTTCCCTCTATCCGGCAGAATTTTGATGTTCCAAAATTTATTTCGCGTAACACACTTGGCAGAATTTTCTTCGAACGAATATTTTTAATTATTATTTTGCCGAATGTTAATGTTCTAATTTACAATGGCATACTTTTAAGAGGGCATAATTTTATTTAGAATAGTTGGGCAACTGCTATATACCTTTGGCAGAGTTAAAATGCCTCATAATGCCGTTTAGCGTAACGTTTTATTTGAGCGACGATTATTTGACAATTTCATTTGGAATAATTTTATTACGCATATTGCCATAAAATAGCATTTTAACCTTAAATTAAAATATTTTCGCAAAAAGTCATATGTCTTGCTACAAAAGTTTATGTCAGAAACGAATCGCTGCAAAACAGTACAGTGTAATTTAAGACCGCGTAGGCGGGAAGGGGCGAGGCGGCCGCGATCTGTGACAATAAGCTTGCGTGGGACCGCCGGAGCCCCGCAGTGCCGGAGCCGTGACATATATGCTGCATGCTGAATGCTGGCTTTATTATTGTGGTAAGAAATACAAAATGATGGATAGATAGTCTTGCAATTATTATAGATATGGAATGTATGCCAAAAGATGATTCTCACTGTAAACTTCCTGAGATGTTTATATATTTTTTTAAAGTTCTGCCTTTTAATGACTATCGATATCAAATTTATGCTTAAAGTCGATTCTGACCATGAACTTTCCGCGATATGATGGTTCTACTTCTTAATTATTATGGATATGAAGTTTATACCTAAAGATAAGACAAAATTAAAAGTTAAGTTTTGAATGTGTGATAAATGAGTGTCTGCCAAGCGATTTTCTGCGAAATGAAGTTTATGCTATCCGTTGTTATGCAAAATAATATTATGACAACAAGTTCTGCTATAAACGGTAGACCCATGAAATAGTGCTCAGACATGTCGGTGTACCGCAATATGAGGGGCTAACCTCGCACGTACGGATATATTGAGACTCACTACACTACCTTCTTTTCAACATAAGTTTCTAAACTGTCACTTACCTGGGTAGCATTCTATTCAGTAAATCGTCTGTCCTCTTCTTCTCCAGTAAAAGTTGTTCCGTCCTTTCAGCCACTATCGTCTCCAGGTTCGACGCGTACTTCTCCATCATGGCCAGCATATTGTCGAAGATGTTTGTTTTCCTGTACAAAATTAATAATTCTAATTAAAACTTGAGGCACCTTACGCAGGGCGGTGTAAGCAGGCCCTCTACTGCTGTTACTAGACTTATGATAAATATACTTATTTACTTACCTATAAATTACTCATATTATTGATAATCTTATCACATTACATGTTCTACACTATGACACTATTTTCTTATTTGGTTAACAAATTATTAAAATGTCCTGTGATATCAGCTTACAGTTTCGAAATGAGGCCGGTAGACGGCCTTCATAGCAGTTAGGTATTGCTTAAGATAAATCTTTCAAAATCTAATATAGTTTTACATGTAAACCGATAAAGTACTTTAAAATAAACGTTCTCTATGAAAATATTAGCTAATCTTTATTCAAGAACTACAAAAACATCCATTTTTTTGTTGCTCCAAATAATCTGCCGGATATATTTGGGTCCAACGTGGCGAAAATATTTATGTGAAGCTTTAAATTTATTTTCCATGGTGGCTTATATTTGCGTTTCTTTCCTCTTTAAATATATTGTCAAATCACCATACGACCTTCACGGTATCGGATGTCGTATAAACCCCTTGTGAGAAAAGTATTATCATGCGCAACTCCCATACATAAAAAAATTGAAGTGTGAAAAAAAAAAAGGGCGGCTATTTTTTTCTGTCTACTTATAAAGCTGTCAGTTTTTATCTGTCAAATGCGTCATTATAGTCATCTAAGATCAAATAAAAAGTTAAGATGGAACTTTACGAAGAACGTAGTGCCGCTGGTTGTATCAACATGTGCGCGTGTGCCGCCATAATTTTATTGAATATAGAGTTTGTGGACCTACTTACGTATGAAATGCGATTCCATCCTACTATCTATCCTATATAGGATAAATAGTATTATTTTATTTCAATACACCAGGAATATTTTTAATTTACAATTGCTCAAATGTTTTTTTGTATTTCTCTCAAGTTCATATATCTCAAAGTGGAATTAATTAAAAAATATCTGGACAAGTGGGAGTTGGACTCTCCCACCTTCGTACACATTTGTAGGTACATATTATAAATAGTTCAGGAATCAGTGAAGTGATTTCAGGAATGTGTCAGTCTTTAAACAAATGTCAATGTCAAAGAATAAATGCCAATATTGGAAAAGCTGCTGTAATATGAAATTGCAAGTGAATTTGTTTACTGGATTTCTGTTTTTATGTGATGATTCTTTATGCAACTGCTTTATGCAAAAAATATTTAGCAAACAACATGGATATGTTTGCGAAATAGTTTATCATAGATTCGAGGTCATATTTCTTGATTATGCAATTATCAATCAAACTGTAACAATGGCAGTCTAAAGTTCATTTTTTACTAGCTAATGGCACCAGTTAGGAACTTGTAAAGATACATACCTATTAATTCGGGCCCAACGATGTATAAGAGATGCGCATTGTCTTTTTAAAAAACTAACATCGAGCAAACTCCGTCAACATAACGGTATCAATACGTATATTTGAATATGCAATTTTAAACTTATGAAATGACTGAAAAAAAGTTATTACGAACCGTATAGCTGTGGAATATTTTATCTTTTATTGTCCATCAAAATGAATGTAAATAAGAGAAAATATTATTGTTAAACAGAATAATCGAGGCTACGGAAAGTATTTCAAAAGAGAAATCCATTGTTATGAAATAATATAGATACCTATAAACAACATAATATTGGTTTCATATTGAGTTCTTTAGACCCAATATAATAACAAGTACAATAAAATTATATGCTAAAAACGTTATACATAATACTAATACCTACTGTCTGTTGTCTCTCTGCAATCATATATGACGAACAGGACAAGGGCCTGGTGATTGGCAGAAATCTTTACTGATCCCACTCCACAAGAAAGGATCCACACGAGCGTGCAGAAAGTACTGTACAGTTGCGCTAATATCGCATTCCAGCAAAATAGTGCTTTATGTAATCAATTCAAGATTAAAATCCTTCCTCCAGTGGCAGATTGTATTTCCACAAGAAAGGATCCACACGAGCGTGCAGAAACTACCGTACAGTTGCGCTAATATCGCATTCCAGCAAAATAATGCTTTATGTAATCAGTTAAAGATTAAAATCCTTCCTCCAGTGGCGAATATAAAACGATCAGGCGGAATTCGTCAAAGGACGCGGCACAAGGGAGCAATATCAGACAAACTATTGACAAGAGCCGTGAATTTTGCAAGCCAATGTTGATGTTTTTCATGGATTACTCAAAGGCGTTCGACTGTGTGCGGTAGGACTACTTCAAACTCAAGTCTACTGGAGATGGGTGTCCCTAAATATCTAGCGGCAATAATCGCGCGCCTATATAATGAGGGTAACTAGATAAACGTAAACGATAACATCTCAAAACCGTTAAAGCCCGAAAAAGGCGTGCGACCGGGATGTGTTTCGCCTCCTATAATCCTCCTCCGTCCTCTTTAATATTATATGGGGAATACATCATGAAAAGGTCGTTAGCAGATTTGGAAGGTGGCATTTCGATTGGCGGGGTTAGGATCAGCAACCTCAGATATGCAGATATCACACTCTTTGCGGCATCCGAATGGGAAGTTGCTGAACTGTTCAAAATGGTTGAGAAAGTAATTTTTCAACAAATAAATTCAAGAGCCAAGTAATGATCATAGATAGGTCGCGGACACTTGCTAGAATAGGTGAACTAACTGACTTTACCTAGGATCATTGCTAACTGACCAGGGAGGCTGTGAAAAGGAAATCCGACGGAGAATCCAGATGGCCAAAGCTGCGATGAGTAAATTAACCCGAATCTGGTAGAACAGAAAATTCGAACACCAAGAAGAGACTCGTTCAAGCGGAATTTTGGACAAATCATTCCTATGAGCGGAAAAAGATTGACACCTTTGAGATGTGGTGTTGGTGAGGGATGCTCCGCATACCGTGGACGGCCAACAGAACAAATGCATCAATCCTGAAATAACTTGCTACCAGCGAGTGTTAGGCTACTTTGGCCATATAGCCCGAAGGCAGCCGGATAATCTTGACAAGCTGGTGGTAGTTAGAAAAACATAAAGAAAAGAACCTCGCGATCGTGCACCCAGCCGATGGTTTGATCAGATCACAAACTGAGGTCACCAAAACATTGCCGAACGCATACGATCTTCAGTAATAAAGCATACGACCGAGAAGAAGTTGTCTCTCTGTACAAAAAATGCATAATTTTTAAAAGCTGGCAAGTAGATCGATGAGGGACGCTGCAGCTGATGCAAATTTAAAAATTTGTACTCACTTTATCACATTTGGTGACCTAGAGAAATATAAATTTAACCTATCCTTGCATTATTACCTTAATTGTATAATAATAAAAAAAGACGTGTGGCACTCGGGGACTGCCGCGGTAAAGCTATTGCATAGCATTTTTTATCAACTTATGCAATTATAATTATTTATTTATTTTATTTATGCAGTATTTTTTTTCCTTTGTTTTTTTTCTTTGATATTAATTAGATTGCGGGGCGAAGAGGGGGATTATGCATGCGCAGTAACGCCGACAACAACAACAACAACGACAACCAATGCCACCTAGAGGCGAGTTGCTAAACTAAAGAGACAAGCGTGATATTTCAAAAAAGTCATTAATAGTTCTGCTATTCATCGATAGATGGCAAAACTAAAAAGTATCACGTGGGGTGTGTTAGGTTATTTTCGTTACAGAATTTCTGGATTCGGTCTCCACGCTCAAGACCTGCGATAGAAGCTATGCAATAGCTTAAAAACTATCAGAAATGAATTTGGGGGCCTAGTGTAAGTTTATTTAACAGCAACTCGATCGTCATGGTAACCGCGTTCGGCGTTGTGATTGGCCCGCACTGAAATCTTGACCTAGCGCAACGCCAAACGTGCTCGCTGTCGAGAGCCAGTTGCTGTGAAATAAATTCTCACTAGGCTCTCTGCTTCGTTTTGGTGACAGAAAATATGTCATACTTACATGCCAGCATGCATATCTTTAAGTCTCAGTCTCACGAGTCTCAAATCAGGCCTGCGGTCAGGACGCTCGCCCCAGCAAGCATTCAACACCGCTAGGACCGCTGGCCTGGCTACTAGTCCTCCAAGCGGTGGTCTGAATAGCACCCCACCGATAGGTTGACGTACTCGTCCAATGATTTCTAAAAAAATATATGGTGATTCAATGCTTCGTAATGAAACAAAGTCGTTTTAAAATAGCTTTTTATGAGATAGGCTGAAGAATCCCGTGAAGTTAAGTGACTACCACTCCATATTTGTAGCAAGAGTCACAAGTAGGTCGGCCTTTGCACTGGAAATACAGTATATTTCATACTTCTGTGAGATCTTCTTCTTCTGCCTGTAATATTTACTTTAATATCCTTTTGAACGGCTTATGAAAATTATAGATTTGCGCCTTTTTGGTTAAAATGAACGCATAAAATAGTTAGCATACAAAAATTCTTTCAGAAAATATTTCAGCTTGGTAACGTTAATTACTTTAAATTTAATTTAGGGGTCAGTTTAAAGAGTTACGACCAATAATAGAGAGAATTTTGAATATATTTTGTAAAATTCGATCACTCTTTGCACTTCTATACATAAGCACTTAGTATTCCAAATTTCTCGGTTGTTTGTTTTTCGGTCTAGCGATAGTGAGACGGTCATATTATGTCCATATTTGCTTAAAAAGGGTACAAACTTTACATATTAATAGGCAACTGTATAGATTTAGTAAACTTAGTGAAGTTTTTAATTCGTCACGTTTTTACTTCGAGGCTTCTGATTTATTGCGATAAGTACCTAACATGTAGCAAAAATTCATTACAGCTGAACAAACCTCACTGACGTTGTTATTGACACTTGATCCTTTAGGTCTGTTTAATATAAGTCTGCAATTTAGATTACTTGAGATGCCGGCGCTTGTTTTTATTGTTTACGGTTGCAAACAAATGTTCTATCTTTATTAAGTGGAAACTTCCCTATGCAGTATAAGTTCCATCGTCCAATGATATAGAGAACCGCGTTTGATTTATTAAATAACTAGCGATCGGCTCCGGTTTTGCACGGGTGCAATGTAGATACTACTACTGATGACTTGTCAGTGTTTAGTAATTAATTATACTATTATTGTGATAAGACTATACTACAGGACATCTACAATTCCGTAGTACATTATTCTGTTCTATCTCAAACGGTAAACCTTAATAGTCATAATAATAGTCAGCGCTTGCAATGAAAGCACCCAAAAACATTTTCATTACGATAAATCTTTGCAATTCTGGGATTTGCTCTACCATAATATCCATGTATTATACATATAAACCTTCCTTTTGAATCACTCTCTATTGATGAAAGCCGCATTCAAATCCGTTGCTACGTTTAAAAAATCAAACTTTCAAGAAAAAACAGCGACTTTATTTTATACTATGTAAAGATATTCTTTACGAATTACAAAGGTAATCTTTTTTTAAATGGCAGGTAGGAGGCAAGCGAACAGACGGGTCACCTGATGAGAAATGAATACCGTCATCATGGACATGTACAGCTCTAGAGTCACAAAAGTGTTGCGCACTTTGAGATCCCTCCCCAGAATTAGAGTGAGGGAAGGGGTTTGGGGTTTAACTCCGGTAACTTCACTCAATTCGTGAAAAGTTACGAAACACTTGCTAAATACCAGTTTTTTTAAAAGCCGTGGTATCGCTCTGGTCGAGGCGGTCCATTTGTGTCTTCTTTGATTCTCTAATCACGGTGGTGCTACGCCGTTGATCTGTCTAAATAAAGCATACTATCTTTTTTTTAAAGACATCTGCACTAGGAGTTTAATCCTGTGTCGGATAACAATGTAGGGTAACAAAGACTAACCCGACATTGTAATTTTAATAACGGTTTTGACTGCTGATTGAGGTACAAAAATAACAGCGCAGTAACGGTTAGTGAATTTCATTATTTACAGCAATAGTAGACCAAAAATCCTCTGAGATTTGTTATCCTTGTCTTGTTTAATGCATAGAATCACTGCTTGAGAGTATGATGCAGCCAAACTACGGTCTTACCTCTCTGACTTTATTACAGCTCCATTTTATAAAATTGGTGCCCAATTATTCGACTCCGTCCAATATTCCTTTTTCAATATAAACACCATCAAATACCCGACACAAACACGCACAGAATGACCGCAAGAATAGCTTGTTTTGTCAATGGAAAAATAAAGAAAGTGAAAACTATAGTGGAGAAGATCCGCCCTTGAAAATATATAATATTTTGTCTGTCTATTTAAATCTATAGCCACCCGTTTCCAAATGGTTGAGCCTTATCAGAACAAATCAAGCAAATTAAGTCAAATTACATACTCTGTGATTTTTTTGTGAAAGCCACTGAGCCTATAAAAAGAAACCACACAAAACAACTTGTTATTTAAATACCTTTATATTGAGTATATTTAGCGATACAGAAAAATAGTCGTAATTTTAGCTGAAGATACAATTTGTGACAAAACTGAGACTTAAGAAGACGGCTTTCATCATGTAATGGAGTACATCTAAATTTAAGTTATAAATAGAATAAATAGACAGTCGTTTCTAAGATTTCACTCATGTTAAAAGTGCAAGTTACACATAAGTGTGCACCATAATTGTGGAAGCCTAATTACCCTGACTCGAGCGGGAGGAACTCCAAGGGCAGCAACGCACTTGTGACTTTTGAGTTGCAGGTGTCCATGGGCGGCGGTAGTTGCTGACCCGTCTGCTCGTTTGCCCCTTATAGCATAAAAAAACCATCTGACCGATTCGGAGACGGGACTAATGATGTTTGGTGTGATAGTTTATATTCTCTTAAACATAATAAACCTGTTGTTCATTTTCATCCTGCAACAAAACAAGCTACAGTTGAGAGCTCAACCAGTTGTTGTACACATTTATAAAAACAAATTGATAGCCGTGGGTGAGCCAAGCTTCAGCATATTTGGGCCAGCTCGAACGGAATGAGACCACGGCCCTTACGAGAAAACTGCGTTTCTTTGCGTTTCACCAAGTGAGTAAGGTAATAGGAGATCTCCCTTTTTGGGGAGGGGGGGGGGGGGCACTCAAAGGGTGACAACGCACTTATGACTCCTGGGTCGCTATGGGCGGTGGTGGTCACTTACCCGTCTGCTCGTTTGCCGACTATTTCATGAAAAAATATAAAATTCTTCACCTGCATTGGTAAGAATAGTATCACCCCAAGGTCCATTCCTCCCAAGTATTTCATACAGAATGATGCCGAAAGAGTACACGTCTCCCTTTTGTGATCCTCTAGCTGGAGGGTTCGGGTCTCTCAGTAGTTCAGGCGCGCGCCACAGCATGCGCCTTTCCATACGCAAAGCATCTTCTGCATCAGAACAGCCATCTAGAATGAAGAACGAATTTAGAGGTTCTTCGGACAGAAGCAAGTTTGTTTATTCCTACTCTTTTTTTTTAATTTATATTACGGTGTACTCCACCAGGGTCAGTGACTATTCCGATGTAGAAAACTTTTTTCTTTTTCAACGTAAGGATTTAGAGTTAATTATTATTTTCCATATGTATTGTAAATATATTTTCGATTTAGAATTAATATGGTATTATAGATTGCTCCACTCTCAATTTAAGCTGAAAAAACGTAGGTCATAATCGCCATTTCTTAGCCGTCCTAATCTCCTTGTAGACTAGTATTCAACAGGCTCTCTATAAAATACTTACATTTCAAATTATGCAGTCCGTAGTCAGCAATTTGCAGCACCCAACGACTATCCACCAAACAGTTACTCGAAGTTAAATTTCCGTGCGAGACCAATGCTGAATCATGTAGGTAAGTCAGGCCTCTCAGTAGATCTGCTACCAGGCTGGCTACAAACATGTCGTCCAGATGTAGGTCTCGATCGGCCAGGACCCTGGCTAGAGAGCCTCGGGAGCAATAGGCAGAAACGATGCACGTAGAACTACTTTCCACGCACACTCCCACAAACGCTGTCAAATTTTCATGGCGAAGTTCTCGGATCTGTTGAAGGATATGTATCAAAATTAATTTCAATTGATTCAAGATTGACATGATAAAATTATATTTTTATCATAACCATGTATAGAAAATGATGTATAGAAATGTGCGTGTGGTGACGGATTAAGAATACGGAGTGTCACCACCCCTATTCATCCCGTAGGTGTCGTAAGAGCCGACTAAGGGAAAAAACTACGCAGAACAACAGCACTGCAGAGAGAAGGAAAACTTGACACAAACCCTATACCAACCCGTCTGGCTAGCGTGGTATAGTAGGCCAAAACCTCCTTCCTGAGGAGAGGCTTATGTCCAGCAGTGGACTATTAAAGGCTGTTGATGATGATGTATAGAAAATATATCCTTAGGAAACCAACTACATCATTCAGTATTCAGGTTATCATTCGGGTATACGAATTCAGTTAGTCAATTCCGTAATCACGGCTCTGAAATCGGAGGTGGTGCGAAAAGAAATAGTCGAATTCAGTCCGAGATTTCTAGATTCACGGGTTCGGGATTGGATTCGGTGCGGACGTAGTGCGAAGCCGCTGTAGGAGAGTCTATGATCATAATTTGGTTTAGTAGTCATGATCATACTTGTTTATACTCTCTCATGTTGAATAAACTCCAAGTCGAAGGGGACTTAGGTCAATTCACCATCAAGAACGGTTTCCTCCATAGCTATGGGTCCATATTCGAATCGGACATAGCACGAAACCGCTCTTACACTTACACACGATACACCGCTTACAGAAAGAAACATTCAATGCTTATGAACGGTTAATTCAATGACGAAGCTTTGACTAAATAATATGTTTGGACATCTTATAATTAAATCTATTATAAGGCGACTGATCACCTTTCATGTTATTGACATTAATTAATATGTGTATCAAGTAATGTCGCGTCAATAAGATTACTACTACTACTGGTATGATATAAAAGATTATAAAATTTCGAATCAATTACGTAAAACGTAGTAAAAACCTATTCCAAACGAATCTTAGTATCAAATGTACTGAAGGTAACAGATTTCTAACGTGCAGGTGTGTGTCCAATACTAAACAACGTGATAATGCCAAGGTGTTAGATGTGGAGTATTGGAATAACAACGTAATAAGGATCAACTGTTAGTTGTAAGTAGTGGCGTAGCAATATAATTACCACTGAAATTGGCTTATTAGGCCCTGCTAACTTCTACATAAGTGATAATTTAACTCCGCGCAGAATGGAACCACTTAAGCGCTTACAAGAATTGAAAGAATATATTTATTTATTTCAATCGAAGGTATTTAAAGTATACATATGCAGTGCCTGGACATAATGAGAGACAGATCCTATATTTATTTGTAACTGCCTTTAAAAATAAAATAAATTGCGTTTATAAATTTACATATGACTAAATATAATAAATCACGGGAAACAGGTATATTACCTTCAGTTCTTGAAACAGGGTCCCGGAGAGATTTCGAGAGCCTGTTTTAGATCAATGTTTCAATTTTAAGTGTATTTACTAGAACAGAGGTTCTAGTAAGGACACTTAAAACTCATATCTCAATCAACCATCATGGTTCCTGAAAAAAGAGCTATTACACTGGCAAGAAATTACAAGGAGACGATATGTATATCGTGAATTTTTGTAAAGCATTTGTCAACTTGACTGGGGCATTTGTTAATAAAGGGTAGCTGTGGACTGTCCGTATTTCAGGCGCTGTAGTCCGCTGAACAAATTTATATTTTATTAATTTTATTCAATAGGTACAGATACAGACAACAGATCGAGAGATACATAGGCCTTAGTAGTAAACAGTGAGTGAACCTGAAGTCCAATTACAACAGTACACAACTTTCAGAACAAACAATGCTTCGTTTTTAATGTTGGTAAAGGTTAAATTTAAATGTAAATTTGTACAGAAAAAGATTAAAAAAATATATGGAGAAAAAAAAATTCAAGAATCCATATCTGTAGAGAGATCTGGCTTAAGATTTCCTCTAGAAATTATAACAATAATGCCGCAAGGATCCCAAACAATATCATTAAAGTCCAACATAATTCAATTTTTGCTGTTGTACGCTACTGGAGTTTGATTTAGGACATAAATCGGAGTATTGCTCAGTAATAATTGATGTATTACATTATAAGTCCGTCCATATAACTCAAGTCTTTCGATCGTAAAATAATAGTTTTTTTTAAGTCGGGTTAAATTGGTTTTTGAGTTTGTATTTTTTGTTTCAACTGTTCTTCATTTGTTTGTTTTTACAGAAAGCTACGTATCCTTTCTAAGGAGAGGCCTATGTCCAGCAGTGGACTAGTATAGGCTGTTGATGATGATGATGATGATGACGTATCAATGTGATGTATTTTGTTAGATAATTTATCTAAGTAACATCTACAAATGACACACTTTTACACATGTATAGTTTTAATAACAAAGAACATATTTTGTACAGTTCAAACTCATAGACACACACACGTAAAAGTCTCTTAAAATAACGCTTTGTGCCGGGACTCAGACCCTTTGAGTAAACACTGCCATTACGAGGGTTTATTACTGTTTGTCACCATTGACCTTGTTTCAACCGTATTTATCAAGCGTAATAATAAAGAAAAGCTTATAAAAAACATGTAAAAATGTAAAACTATGACACGATATTTTTAATTAACTTTCCCTTGATCGATAGCCAGAAATCTAGAAAAAAAAAATCGTTATGCGCCCTTCTCAGAATCTCGACTAAAGGATCCTCGCCTGAGGGATTAGTCAGTAGAGAATGAAAACTGACTCCATTTCAGAATCCTATCATAGTTTTACTACGTCTATAAAGTTTACGTACCACAAAATTATGTGGAAATATTGTCCTCATATAAGAATAAGCCTTTAACTCCTTTTATCATCATTGCATAACTCTGAATGTTATCTCGTTTTATAATTATATCATATTAGCTTTTTACAATGACTTCTCTCGAGGAACTCCATTTTGCCAATCAATGTTTCAGGAATGAATGTATCTTATGTGCTATTCATGACTATATGTGTCTAATTTAAACTGTCATCAGACATTGACCCATACTTTCACATTTATAGTAATGTAGTATGTAGTATACCAATATAGGTACATAATTTTTCATGTTTACGAATAACAATTTAAAAATAACGAAATGAAAAATTGATTGTATTGTTCAGTTCCTTTTTGAAGCACATGACTTGATTTTATTTCCGGTGTTATGGCAACCAAGCACCAGGGACTTCCTTTCTAGGGTATACCTGGTTCCTCGGCTATTAGTACCCGAGACGGCGTGCGGTTTTAGTCGGTTCGAGTCCGACATGCCACCGATGGTATCCGAGGGGATTTCCGCACGGAAAAAAAAGGAAAAAAGGTGAATGTTAAAGGTGCAACCATGGTGACAAATAGGGGAGCCAACTACGCAGGATAACAACACTGTAAAGATAAGGAAAACTTGAAACGAATCCTTATACCAACCCGTCTTACCAGCGTGGTATAGGCTAGGCTACCAAACGAAATCAAAAACGAAAATAAATACAATACTTTTGTTAACAAATTAAAAAAACTTCTAATAAGTAAATGCTACTACAGTGTCAAGGAATACTTAGAAGATAAATTATAAACTTTAAATAACTAAAATTAATCATTATAAACACATACTAGTATAGACATAAAATCTAATAAATTTACATTTAATAAATATTAATATATAATGAATGACTATGCAATAAATTGATATACAACGAATGGTAAACTAATTTTGTACTGACATTGTTAATTAATAAATTTATTAAATTATCAACAACTACATCCTATTATGAACATGTAAGTTAAATATACTATTTGGTTTAATTAGTTTATCTCGTTTAAAGCAGAAAATGTTGGTATTGAAATGAAGCTCTTAAAACTAGCATAATTAGGCAGCTCCTCCTCTCTCCTGATAGTGCTGTGCCCGACAGGGTCCATAATTGTTACCTACTTTTAAGCCTACCACCTGAATGTACATTATGGAATGCAATAAATTGAAATTGAAATTGTATAGTAGGCCAAAACCTCCTTTCCAAGGAGAGGCCTATGTACAGCAGTGGACTATTAAAGGCTGTTGATGATGATGAAATATTTTGTACGTAATCTCATTTTTTTATGTATAAAACTTTTTTGTACACATATTTCTGTAACCGAAACATAAACATCTAACGAATATCTTGAAAAAATAAAAAAAGGTCTCCTCCTCTTTTGTGTTTTTGAAATCAGTTAAAGATGGTTGACGTACAATACTTGGGTATGTTGAACGGCCAACTTGACATCCAAAGAATTCTTCGGCTTATTTATAATGAAATATCAAAAGAATTTAAGGTACAATATAAAACTAGTAATATTAGCTACTACGCATGTGCTGTTTTCAGGTTGATATTTATATAAAAGTAATGGTACTTTTACTATACTACAAAAGATGAAAACTTTTTGATGTTTTTATTTTGCGTAAATATTTCTAACGCTACATATATTTTTGTTATTCTCAAATGAAATTACTGAATATTAAAATCGCTTACACAAAGAAGTGTATACTGTATATCATACTACTACTGATAGTGATCAGCTCTCGCCAGAGATACAAATTGCGTGGGGCCAAGATAAACGGGCAACTTGACGCTTTTATTAGGACAATATTTTTTGTTATTTTCATGATCCTTTTATTTTCTTTACACATCTTATACACCACCATCTGGTCCCAAACTATGTAGAGCTTGTACTATGGTTACCAAACTGCTGATAAATATACTTATATATTTCTAAATACATACAAATTGTAGATATATTACACCTAGACACAAAACAAATGTTCGTGCTTATCACAAATTTATTTGTTCTAGATGGGAATCGATTCACTAGACCAACAGGGCAGTCTTCAATTAAACCGGTTGCACGTATTTAAAGTGTGTTAGTAGTGTAAAGTGTACTCGTGGTAGTAGTGTACTACAATTAAAGCCTCTGTTTCTTCTGCAAGATACATAATAACAATAACTCTGAGCAGTTACTTTTGAAATGAAATATCGCCTTTAATTAACTTTAATTACATGTTTCAATATTATTTGTTACAGAATTCATTTCACATAATTTATAAGACCTTAGGGTCTTATAAATAAGAACTACTCTAATTTAGAAACGTATATATTACTGAAAATGGAAATTAATTCGATTTATACCGTTAGGTTTATACTGAATTTAATTCGATTCCTTCCTGGAATTAATACGAAAACAAGGCACAAAGTTTTAAGAGAGGAATAGGTAAACCACAAATTAAGAATATAATAGAAAACTTATAAAGACCCAGCTTTTCAGAATTCACAATTGTGTGCGTTCTGGGAAAAAAGTCTGGGAACTTCTGGTCTACAGAGGTTCCCGGACTTTTTTTCTCAAAGACCACTTTTAAAATTTAGCTGGTTTCGGTGGACCCCCTGCAGCTACATTTCTACCATATTCCCAAAAACTCGATAAAAAATGTGAAGACTAGATCCAACTATGGAAATTAGCTGAGCTGAGTTCCAGCCACAATGAAAGAAAAAGAGAATTGATTGGTTAATTAATTCATTGATTGTGCTGTAAGTGGATGTAAAAAAAGTAAAGTTGGCCAATCAAAAGTGATTCCATCCAACTTTACTTTTTTGACATCTACTCACAGCACAAGTAACCAATCAATTCTCACTTAATTTATTTAGAAAACTCCCCATTTGGAGTGATAAAAAGAAAAAGAAAAATAGTATATTTTTTGTGTTGTATTTATTCAAATATGTAGTTTTTACACTATTAATTATTATTGTTATCATATTACATTTCAATATGAGAACAGTCGTAATATAATTAAAATTAAACATTAATAACGTAACGTAACTTCTACAATGACAGTTATAAATATTTGGCTTCAGTTTTGTTAGGAATAACCGCAAATCTCCCCGTTTCGTGATATTAAATCTGCTCCTTTTGTTTGTTAAAAGGTTTGTAACGACATTAAAACTGTTTTGGACGAGGGAAACGCTATCAAAAGCTTTCTCGCAATTCCCCACAGTCCAGGATATTTTTCGGGTACTTCAGCCTGCAGCAAAAATATTTGATGCCCTCTTTTAAATTTCACCATCAGCTCCTCATTAGTGCTAAGCTCGAGTAGCTCCTCTTGTAATATCACATTCTCGACTTCCGTTTCATAAAATGTATTTATGATCCATGGTGGTATTTCCATCGTCAGACTATCTTCAAATCTGATTTTGAAGTCATTATGCAGGTCTGAATATCCTCATCAAGGCATTCTACCTGTGACAAGTTTGAAAGCTGGGAAAATAGAGCCAACTAATATTTTGCTTCATAAATTTAAATTTACCAAGAAAAACTGACCCTTGATTTTTATTGAAGCTGTCCTCTTGTAATTGTAAGTTAATATCATTAAATTTTTAAACAAATCTATCAAATACGCAATGTCTACGTTGAAATTGATCAGGTTTTCTTTTCCATCCGGATCTTTACTTTCCAGAAACTCTTGTTAAACATCCACCTTTCGATAACCAGCGTACGAGTACGTAGGCATGTAAGTGCAATCGTTGGAAGTCTTAATCATTTTCATCGCAAAATTGTGCAAATAAACGCGTATTCAACGCATTGCTTCTTATTTTGTTAACTGCATTAATCACTATCTATGGACAAAAAGTTCAACCTTTCTCGGCTTTCTGTTCTATTAATAAAGTAAATGAATCTGTTCATAATTTAAGTATTAATACAAATCTTACAACATAAAATAAAAATATATAAAACAAATAACCAGGTAAATACTTACTTTTGCCGACACTGGCAAACACTAACATCGATTCACTTTCCTTTTTTTTGCGAATACCGGAAACAAATGGGTAACGTTTATTCTTGGCATTCGTATTTATATTGGTGAAGAGTCAAACAAGTTCATGCAAGATTGTAAGCACACACACCACAAGTCGTATTTCGCCCCTTTGCACGTTTGAACAAGCGTTGCGGACGGCGGTTGCGGCAGCGGCGGCGCTTTTCAAGTCTCGGCACGTTGTACTGAATATGGAATATGCAAGTTTTTACAAGTAACAGTCGCTGAGCTTCTTAAAATATTATCTGCCTACATTGATAGGTGAAGTCAAGTCACATTTTAGTTCTTCACTTTCAAAAGCAGATATATTTTCGTGGACCCTCGCTTATGAATTGTGAACCCCCAATATTTTGTCACTCCAACGTTGACTCCCGTCGAGTCTCCCGTGGACCCCTGGGGGTCCACCTGGACCGCTTTGGGAACTAAGGGTTTATACTCATGATATCTACAGTCTGGAAATTGCAATGACAGTTATAATGGCAATTGCAATTACATTAGGCCTTCCAATGGCAATTGCTATGCCAGTAATTGCAGCGACAATATTCGAATTGTATATACCAATTTTTCTTTATACGCTTTTCTAAGAATTCCTGCTAAGGGAGCTTCGTCTGAGGCATTGTCAATGGAGTACGACTCACTTCAAGTGAATTTTGAATAATTATTGTAATCATAATATTATTGTCGTAACGGATAATGATACCTGTTATTTAAGGTGTGATCGAAATCTAGGTGCAAAATGCTATTGTACCATTAATTTGATGAAATGATGCACTTACTTGTTTTAATTCTTTCTTGATAGCTCTTGTAATGTCAATACTTTTCTTTTGCAGTCTCTTAACGGCCACGATGTTGCCTCTATGAAGAGCTATGGTAGTGTGAGCTCGTCGAGTCTCCATGTCGTGCTGAACTGACGTCTGGGGGAAGAAACAAATATTAAAAAAAAATGTAATGCAATTTACTTGTTATATTTCTATCGTCATAGATGCAGTTCTGGAATTATATTAAAAGTAACAGTATATAAGAACACAAAAATTCTGCAGTAGCACCAAAGACAACTGTAAGATAATCATCAATGATCGACGGACGAATCTACATTTACCATAATGGTTAAAATCCCTTGAGTTAGGAGAAGCAGTGAGTCCTTAACATTCTCCATCGATATACAAATACACTAGATTGTCTATATTTTACTTAGGTTTAGATATCAATACAGATTTAAAGAGTTTTGACCTATTTAATATATTTTTTTACACTTGTCTTGTTCTTATTTTCACACATGTCTAAAATTTTCAATTTCTATGTTTAGATTTGTGGTTTGGCATTCCATAATAAATAAATATATACATAAAACTTGAAGGCTGAATAAAGAAATATTAATATGTGTTTTGATACCAGCACTAAGTGGGAAAAAACTATGATTAAGTAAATTTAAATCAAATTTGCTATCCTCACGAGAACGAGGTTTGTGCGTGTTAAATTATAACATCTTTGCCAATCCTGAAGTTTATACTTTCTGGACAACGACTGGTGAAATAAAGCAGCACTCACATCATACAATACCTTGTCAGTTCCCTGATGCGTGTTGTGCGAAATGAATTTCAAATCTTTAGCCTCGATCCTCCACAACACTGAGGCTAACTTCTGCTCGTATCTGTAGTGACGTATCATTAGCGCGGCAGCCAGGATTGCTGCAGCTGCTACTGCCACAGCGGCTGATAGAACGCCAGGGTCGTGTGGTAAAGCACATTTGATCCCATCGAAACCGCATTCGGGTTCAGCTCTCGGTGGACTGTGCCCTATCCAGGCTATGTTATTCGCTCCAACCAGTTCCTGTATGACGAAATGATGTCATTTAAATTAGTAGAATTGCATTGTTCAGTCGTTTTTTCAGGCTCGTTAAAAAGTTAAACTTAGCCGAGTGTAAGTCTAATTTAATTGGTTCTTTAAAAAACTTAGTTATTTTAAAATATCACCGTTTTTAGTCCGTTTTATTCATATTAAATTGTAATAAACTATTTTTTTCATCTCTTATTTTCTACTCTGACTAGTGCTATATTTTTACAAAATTAAACAGAACATCTTTATTACCACGAAATCATTAAAAAAAAAGTGTTATTAAAATCTGTTCTTAAAGGGCCTCGTGTGCTACGCTACATAAAATAAAAATATCTTATGATCATTGAGATATAATCATCTTAAGATTTGCGCAGTCTAGTACACAGTGTCTAATTATTATTTAAGCAGTTATGAATATATCATAAGCTACCGCAGCGCCACCCTTATTGGACGCGTTTTTTCGGGCACTTTTCATACACAGAGATGATTCTCCTTGCCTCTACCCTCCATACTCTATCTGCACGCACACTAGCATGATAAAGTTGGTTTAGTTGTTTTGTACTCTCTCTGCCTCACTTCATCACGACTTATAAATGATCTAAGGAAAGTATACTTAGTAGGATTGGAACCCTCCTTCTTTTTTAAGTCAGAATGAATGAACTATTATGTATTAATTTAATCAACAAATATAAAAAGTATACCTAAAATAAAAATATTATATGTGACTCAGTAAATATATGTAGTACTCTTCCTAATAAAGTAGGTCAACCTTATAAGGCCTGGCTCTTAATAAGGTTTACATTGAAATGATCCTCGTTTCGTTGGGGTAATTCCCTTTTAAAAAATACGTCTAATATCATAATTTTATATGAATTCATTTCCTCATTTCATAATTAGGGGTATATTTTAATGTCGTAAGGCCCGAAATCACGGTGGCCAGTTCACCAGTTTGTTTACGTGTTGTTATCAATAAAACTGCCGTTCTGCGACCACCGGCGCCCGAGTCGTCTGCGGTACCTGGTCCGTTCCCGGGACTGGCGGGCCGGGAGAGTTCTAAACCTCTCCCAGTCCCGCCCCGTCTTCTCCTTCGCAAGCATAACTTACTCGCAGAAGGAGACGGCGAAGTTCCACGCACTCTCGCTCCGTACCATGGCGGCAATCATATTACCGAGCGAGAGGACTCCCACCCCGATGGCCACCACGAGGGACTCTGCTCCACCCATGCCGGGCATTCTGCCAACGTGTGCAGGGCCGTGTCCACGAAAATTATGAAATGAGGAAATGAATTCATATAAAATTATGATATTAGACGTATTTTTTAAAAGGGAATTACCCCAACGAAACGAGGATCATATCAATGTAAACCTTATTAAGAGCCAGGCCTTATAAGGTTGACCTACTTAGGAAGAGTACTACATATATTTACTGAGTAACATATAATATTTTTATTTTAATATTTTTGTTTAAATAAATGTGACTCAGTAAAAGATTTCAGTCTGATGTAGTTTCGATCGCGTTAATGTGGATTTTGTTAATCAATACTGGCATTTATAAATAGTATAAATTCTACTTTGTCCAATAAGCTATGCCCATTTCTTTGACCCTAACGCGTAAAAAATAAGCAAGCCTTACAATCGTTAAAACATCTGACGGCCGGATGGCGTAGTGGTTTGTGTAACAGACTCCTATGCTAAAGGTCGCAAGTTCCATACCGCCATAATAAATATTTTGGATAAGTCCAAAATTTGTGTTCATCAACATTTAATGTTTGATTTGGTCTGTGTGTTTCTATTTATGTACGTATAGACAAATAAGTATATATGTATTTATATCAGTTGTCTAGTAGCCATAGTACAAGCTCTGCTTAGTTTGGGACTAGATGGCGTTGTGTGAATGTGGTAGAATATATCGCAGTCCCCGACGAACAAAATCGTAATAGGAATATGACAATTTTACAGGAGCAAATAAAAACTGAATATCTTAAATACTATCAAGACTAAAAAGATGATTCTTTTATCAAAAATAGGGAATATTTTTTTGCACTAGATTTTTACTAAATTTTTATCATAAATTTTCTTTATCAGTAAGAAAATTGTGAAAATGACCATTACTGAAATAAGCTATGGAAAAAATAACGCAAACTAACTTTACGATAGTGTTCGACTGTAATCACAAATCGGTGTTGCTGTAGTAATCGTTCATTATGATATTGTTCCATGGTAAATATGAATATACTTTCTATTCGTAAAATGACATTGCAATCGTATTCGATGATATAACTGACTTTAATATTACGGTAAACATAAATTACATGCTTATTCGATGATCATTTTTAGGTGTTATGAAAGGTAAGCAGCAAAATTAACCATTTCGGTACCTATGTATAAATAAAGTTTTTATGTGTATTACTTTAAATTTGACATTATTTATCTATTTATGTTTTATTAATTTTACAGGGTTATTTGTAGCACTGTAAATTGAACCTAAATATTGTCAGTTTATAATCTAGCGAGTTTTCAATTGGTCAAGACATACAATCCTTACTAATCTTATAAATGCGAAAGTAACTCTGTCTGTCTGTGTAGCTTTCACGCTAAAAGTACTGAACCGATTTACATTAAATTAGTACACAGAAACCCTAGAGCCTGAGAAATGATATATACTACTTTTAAATGCAAAAAAGGGTTGTAAGGGGTCGAAATAGGGGTTGAAATGTTGTATGAAAGTATCGACGTTGCTTGGGATTCACTAAAATGGTACCCAATGTCACTATTCCATGCGGACGAAGTCGCGGGCACACGCTAGTTGATTATAAATTTACTATTTAATGGTGACAAATTAAACGCAAAAATTATCATTTTTTTTATTATTATAATATGAAACAAAAATTAAAACAAAAAAAAAACTGAATTTAATTTTTATCTATATCTTCTTGTTGTTCTTCAGGTATAATATTGATATCTACATAATTTAAATTACTATAAAAACTGTGATAACATTTAGGGATGGCCTCACTTTCACACAAAGACTTCAGGTCAGCAAACAGAGCCTTGGTAATAGGTAAAGGGTGGCTGTAAACATTTTTGAGTGTTTGTACATCAACCTGGCCAGGGACGGGTTTCCGTCCTCGTTTGGGTTGGTTTAGTTAAAGTTTTGTATCCAACTCGAATGAATCATTGTCGAAGTCATACTCATACTGTAAAATTATTGGTTTCAAATGAGAAACTCTCACCTCCATCAATTTCGACCACTGAATTTTTCGGCCTTGGGTGTCGTTTAACCAACTCTTTCCACTAATAAGATTCTGTCATTTTTCCCTCGAACAATATGGTAATAGCCGCTTACTCTAAAATGTTGACTTTTGAGATTTGGTAATAGTTTTTTGCGTTATTGATCGTGTAAATTTTTCACTTATGTTATACGTAGAACAAAAACATAAAGATCATTATTGAATGGATAAATCCAAAAGTATTCATCGCCCGATCATAAAAAAATTTCAATGATTGTAATAGGGTGTGTAGATAACGAATATTTAATAAACCCGATTCTATCGTAATAGCGATTACCATAGTGTTCGTCGGGGACTGCGATATTATTATTATTAGTTTAGTTTATTATTATTTTTAGCACATTAAGCCGGACCCGGTTGTCACACTAATATCTGTGGCAATCGCTACGGGTTGTTGGAGCTCTAAAAAGCCCGACAACACTCTACATACAGAACGTCGATTTCGCTTAGTAATTGAGTTGTGGAGGTCTAATAGCAGTAACTCCACGTAAGTAAACCTAGTTTAGGAAAAGACTCGAAGGAAGATGTTATAATTTGAACCAATCAGACAGAGAAGTGCAATATCATTGTCTATTCAAGGTAAAATGCAGGGGTCTAGAAAATTCCGGTGGGACTTCGGATTTCATTTCCGAGGTCTGGTCCCCAAGTTGGAGCAGCGTAGGCATTGGCGTGGTTACTGTCCAACATGAAGGGACTCGATGACTCCTGCAAGAGACTCTACTACGGGGTTGTGCATTTTATGGACCTTCATGGGGCCCCGGTATGGTCGGAGGCCCTGAAGGCCAGCAACGTCGCTCTACTGCGACGTCCGCGCACGATCTCCTTTGAGGTGGCGAGTCTCCAGAACTCCACCGTGGGAATTGTGATGATGTCCGGAGACTCGAGAAATCGAGGGTCAGGAGTGGAAGGAAGGACTTGTGTAACCAAGCGCCGGGCACGCCGTTATTGCGGCAGTAAGACCCGTTATGGAGGATTGTCTGGAGAGGCATCACGTACCGTCTGACGCAGGGGATTAACGGGAGAGAGATCTGATCAACAAGGAGCCAGCGCCCGAGTGTCAACATTACGATGGCCGTACCGTGGACACAGCGCTCCACACGCTGGCAGAATGCCCGGCGTATGTTGAGTACAGGTGCGACATTGTGGCGGCCATCGGAGTGGAAATTTTCTCCGTACTATGGCCGCAATTATAGAACTGAGGTAGGCTCTCGCTCCGTACCATGGCCGCAATCATGGGATTGCGGCCATGGTACGGAGCGAGAGCAAAGGCGACGGAGCAGGACCGAGAGAGATTAAAAATTCTGTCCGGCCCGGAAACGGGCCAAGTACCGTCGATCACTGAACGACCTCCGTCCTCCATAAGCGCAGGTCTAGGGGTGACAGGCGAGGCCATCTGTCATCCTAACAGAAGCAGGCTGGGTTGGCGGCCCACCCTTTAAATTATAGAAAGGGAACACCGTGGTTCTTACACACGGGGGGTCATCTTCTTGTCGTAGATGGCTTGGGGTACGTCGGTATTTCCAGGGATTTCCTTTCTAGGGTACATCTGGTTCCCCGGCTACTGGTACCTGAGACGGCGCGCTGTTATTAGCAGTCGGTTAGACTCCGAAATAACCACCGGTGGACGGTATCCGCGGGGATTCCCGCAAAGAAAAAAAAAGGGTTCTAGAACATTTTAAACCTGTACATATCTTTTTCAATTTAA